TTCTCCTTACAGATTTGGATCTGTAAGTGTTAGATAAACATCAAACTTACCGAATCACGTTTATATTCAATATGCACGTAATATGTTTGGGGTATCTTCGGGCAATGATTACAGATTTATGGTTTTCAGAAACAAACTACATTCCAACTTCTCTCTTATTACGTTCTATAACTTTTCTATTGTGGTAAACTTTAAATTATATTAAAAAATAATGAAAGATTATTCCAAGAAAGTTGAATTTATTTTATTTATTTTTATCAGAATTTTTTATCATTTAAAAATGCTAAAATTCAGAAAAAAATTAATATGTAACTTATGTATATTCTTATATCATATTTATCAATATTTAATGAAATTTTATTAAGCATTTTTAATTATTGATTGTAATTACAATTAAAATCTATTTATTGTTAATTGTAATTAACAATTTTATGTGTTTAACTCGTAAAAAAATTATACGAAAATTAATGAATAATTATTGCTAAACAACTTTGGATTCACTTATTTTATTTTTTCATTAATTAAAATGCAAAACTTCTCAAAAAATTTTTTGCATTCTCACAGGAAATATTTTTCAATGTTAATAAAATTTTATTAAAAATTTTCTGATTATTAATTGTAATTATAATTAATGTCACTTAAATTCATTTATTACTAATTGTAATTAGCAACTATAAATTTAGTTATTGATTGTGATCGTTTAACCTTTGATTAAAATTAATTTTTATTATTGATTGTAATCAACAGTTGTAAATGATATAATTGACATATTTATAATAATCATTTTAATATCATCGATTTCAGATGAGAAAAGGAAAATAAAAATCCTTAAATATAATTAATATAATATTAATAAAAGTAAAGTTTTAAAAAAAAATTTAACAATTTCGCTTATAATTATATTTAAATCTTAATTAATTATTTAGAGTCTTAAGTACAGATAAAATGCTAAACACGCCATTTTCCAAAGTTAAATTTTATATTCCAATCTTTTTATGATTTTCTTAAAAGAACATAATTGTAATTGGTTCAATTTGAATAATACTTTATCCCCACAGAAAATTTATGCAAATCTTCTTTACCATAATTAATTCCATAGTTAACGAAGATTATTTTCCAAGATTGATTACTTTGAAAATGTCAAGAAAGAATAGTTCAATCTTCTTTTCTCTTAAATAAAATTTAACTAAAATAAATCCAAAAAGTACATAATAAATTTATCATATCTAATATAAAAGTCATTATATTTTACTTCCTATCGATACATTAAAAAAATTTTTATAAAGTCTTTACAAGAAAAAGAAGAAAATGATGACGAAGAAAAAATTTCAATAATCTCTTCTTATAACTTAAATATTTATTTAATTATAATTTGTATATAAGGTGAACCATTTAATTCATTAATATCAAGAAATTTATAGAGTGAACTTCCAGACTAATTGAATATTTGCAGATTAGTTAAGTGTTTGTAGTTAATATCTGGAAATTGTGTAGGTCATCTGTACATTTGTGTTATGTGCCCGTTAACCCTTCTGTAGATTTAATGTTTACACAATAGTTGTATATATTCAACAAATTAAATAACGTGAAGATTAGTTAAGTGCTTCTAACTTAATCAATTGATTAGTTAAGCTATTTACAAATCATATATCTTTTTAACTACATCAAACTTTAAATGTTTATTAATTTAAGTTTAATTTCAATGAGATATATTTTTAATAAATTTATTTGTTTACAATTCTGTAAAAACACGTCTCAAAGTTTTTATTTTTATCTATTGTCTTTTATTGTTAACTTTATTGTCTTTGATATTAGCTTTATTTAAAAAATTAGCTTCTTCTAGATATAAGTCTATTGTATGATAATATCGATCGTTCAGAGAAAAACATGATGTTGTTGATGTTTTTTTTTCTTCCTTTCTTTCTGTTCTGAAAGACGGTTTTGATAACATCTGCTCCTTTAATGACGATACAAAAATATGAAACACGAATAACCAATTTTTAGAATGTTACCCACACGAAATCTAAAAAAAACGAGAAAAAATTATAAACACATCTACAATTTCAACGATTTAAAACATATCATTAAAAGAATATTTTATACGTGATTAATAGATGCAAACAAAAATATAAAACTTTTAAATCTATTTTATTTATTTATTTTTGTATCTATTTATACGTAGTCATCAATTTTTTTTTTATGCTCTTTCCATTTTTATGCAATTGCTTTCTAAAATCAATTNGCTACATTAATAATCTCCACAAATTCTCATAATTCTCTGCTTTTTTCCCTCCTCTCTTCTACTAGTTTAACAATTTTCTACATACGTGTATCTTCATTTATTTTAAGTATTTTCCTTTTGCACGTGTTTCACTTTATAAATTTCTCAATTTCCTAATAAATAATTAATATTTTTTTACTTATTTCTTCATATTTTTGTATTCAATATATTTCTCTGTCTTCATACATCTTTACACTTAAAATTTCTAGTGACTTATAACTACGAATGGACTTTTATACCAAATAAATTGGAATTGGCATCATTAAAATTTGTACACCTTTCTATTCTAACTAAACTCGAATCGAATAAATTTATAGTTTCGGATTTGAAAGATAATTATAAGTAATATATGGTAATGCACGTTCCCAATTAGAACGAACCTCATATATTATAAATCCCTGAAGGATAAATCAATAAGTAATGTTCAAAAGAACGTTATTCCGTGAGAAGACCGAAAATTATGATCGAAAATCGGAAATGTTAAAAGTTCTATTACTACTTAACTTATGATTACATGTAATTTTTATTCGCTCCTTTCATTAAATCTATGTTATTTAACTAACCAAAGACATTAGTGGTGCAAAATCACTTTACCAATAAGATCGAAGAGAAAGGGAGGAGGGGAGAAAAAAATAAAGAGCAAGATAAGAGTTCTTGATCGCAAATTATCAATTTGAAAAACTAAAAAAAAAAATTATAATAAAATTGAATTTATGTCTGAATGATTCTTGAGATTATTCAAGATAAATTCTCTATAAAAAATAATAATAATAAAATAGAGATATAGAAAAAAATATAGAAGGTATGTTACCTATACTATACACGTAACATGTCTCTTAGATAATTCAGACAATAAAACTATACTAAAGTATATGAATTAATTATGAAGACATCAAAGAACTATTTTTCTATCTTCTTAATTTTAAATTTGAAAAAAATTCTGCAACTGTTTCTTTATATATAAAATATTATATTATCCTTAGATGTTAGAGTAATATCTGTCTAATAAAACGAATTGTTTCTGTATCTAAAAGTTCTTTTCTAGAAAGATCTTGAATAATGTTCAATATTTTACGCATTCTTGATTCTTTTACACTTGAAATATTTTTTTTTAAAGTTCGAGTTCTAAATATTTAAAACCATTGCATTATACATTTTTCTATATAAATATATATAATACATATAGGACTACGTATATATTCACAGCTTTAGAAGATTTTGATATAAAATAATATATATATATTTTATATATACTTTGATTTTTTATTATTTTTATTGAACTTTTTTATACCATTAACTTTTTAAAGTTTTTATTCATGTTTTATTCTTTCGCTAATATTCGGGTCAATTTTTTTCCTTGTAATTCCAGAAATTACATTAAAAATTTATGCACAATTTAAGATAAGTTCGTATTTCGTTAATACGGCTTTTTTTTTAAAAAAGTATGAAAAAAGTTTGAATAAAAGATAATTTTATTCAGAAACTTTAATAAAAATCTATCATTAAATTTTATAATTCGCTAAAGTAAATTATCCTTAAGAAAAACGTCAATATAAATATTAGTTACGTTGTAAGTCTCATTTGAGTTTATCTCAAAGAAAATAAATGGCTGTTTTTTAATATTATTTTTCTTATTATTATTGTATAACTAAGGAAGAATGAAACTACATTAATAACCTCCACGCAATTAACACTAATTGATACAGGAAAATTTTTTTTTTCTGTTCTTTTCTTTCATTTTTTGATCAGATAATTTGTTTTTGAGGTCAATTTTAGCAGAAGCAGAAAAATACCATAATGCTAGTATTGGTTGATCAGCTATTTCATCGAATAATAGAGACATGATGAACCTAAGGAGGTCGTTATGTTTGGAAGAGAATTCGATTTGCTTGAGACTTCTAACTTTATCTCATTCCTTTCCTTTCGTTTCTTTTCTTTTCTTATCATTATAGAATTTCTTAAGGGACCTTATAGCAGTCCGTGAAAAATTCAGATAAATAATCAATATTAAATATGCATGTTAGAAAAGGAAAGGGGAGAAGAAGAAAAAGAAAAAAAATTCAAAGTAGAGGTCTGGTGATCTTATTCGACTGGGGAACCACAACAACAAGATTTACCACTATACATGATAAATAAATATTACTCGGATTCAATCTGAACATTATTTTGGGTTAAAGAAATGATTAAAAATAAGATATTGAATTCCTTAAAGGGTGGGAAAAAATACGTACATAAAGCAGAAGAATTGCTCGGTAACGTCTCTAAAATAAATATAATATATGTATTTTAGAAAAAGGAAAAATTTGTACTGAAAAATATCAATAAATATTTTTGAACTGAAATGAAATCTGAGATAATGTGATACTTAAAGTAGTAGTTTAGATATTTAACTTTTTTTTCCTTTATGCTCTCTTACCTCTCTTTCTCTTTGGAGAGTGTCATTATATATTCAGAGTTCGATGCGAATTTAAATGCGTTCACTTTTATGACTTCTACTTTAGTGGAAATGATTACGTGCGTCATCAAACCATTCGCTTGATAATTATAATATAGCAGAATATCTCACCTTATGGTAAATTCCGTTCTGGTTTATGTTGAAAATAATTTAGAAAATTGCATTCTGATTGAGAAAGATCATTATAGAAAACTGCTAATTTTTAATATAAAAAAAAAATAATAATTTTTTTCCGGTTTTCTCTTTCTGGGATAAAATAACAAGGTGAACTGCGAGTTGTACACGAGTTTTGCTTTATTGATGATATCAGCTGAAAAACATTTACTGCTGTTTAGTTTTTTAAATAAATAAACGTAAGTATATTTGCTGTAATATAACTTGATTACGACTCAATGCAAAAAAATGCTAAAATATTACCTTCTAAACTTAATTTCAGTCACGAAAATAAAAACTTAATCTTAAAATCAAAATTAATTAATTTATAAATAAAAATAAAACTAATAAGCTATTTTATCATATCAATTATTATTATATAAATTTCTGTACATAAACTTAGTTTTAGTGAAAATGTAAATATAAACTTATTTATCCTAATACAACTATACAGCTATAAATTTTATGCCAAATACATTCTGGTTTGTATAAAATTAAATAAATAATTTAAAAAATTATATTGTAACGAGAGAGAGAGAGATCATTACAGAAACTGCTGATTTTTAACAAGAAATACTAAAGTAATAATCATTTGTAGGAGTAAAGATCATCCTGGAAAGTTGCGAGTTATATGGGAGTTTTGCTTTATTGATGATACGGCGATTACAAACATGTACAACCATTCACTTCTTTAAATAAATAAACATAAACATATTTAATATAATATAATTTTATACATTATGAAAGATTATAATATCATTTGCTGTAATATATATACAGACCTATATATATATGATTTTGTAGAGGAAATTTTAGAATGTGACTTTCTAAAAATAATCTATAAAGTAGATTTCGATTGTTAAAACAAAATTAAAGCAAGCTTTCAATTATTTGTTTAAATAAGGAAAATAAAAAAATTGAAAACAAGTGCTCATTATACACGAATTCTTAAAAAATTATATCTGGTATTTAAAATGTAAGCTTATTTTTCTTTTACGTAACTTAATTTATAGTTTAAAAATATAAATATAACTGCTCTAATACAAATATATATATATATATATATATATATTTNTGCAAATTGATAAAAAGTGAAAAAATAATTTAGAAAATTGCTTTCTGGAATAAAGATTTAAGTAAAGAAATATTTGCCATTTTAATATGAGATAAAATATTCTTAAAGAAATTTTAAAATATTCCATATTATTTTTTTAACCATTTTTAATATCGAACTATTTAGAATTTCTAATATATTTAAATAAATTAAAGATAAAATTATTTGAATTGTGAATTTTTATTGGTTAAATTATATCTAATTATATTTTGTCCAACTGCATCTTTGTTGACACGTTTATCAACAGCAACTTGAAACCTTGTAAAAGAAATCGTCTACAAAAATCTTTCGCTTCAGTTAACTTCTTCCCTGTTATTGAGATCAAGCGAAATGACTGAACGAATTATCTTCAAATAAAAAATACCAAATCTTGCCCGTCTTTATTGATTTTAAAGTTACAGCTGTCTATCCGATAGAATATAGTCTACTAGATGATTTTTTTCCTTAAACTTTAAAGGATATGATAGAGGGGGAAAAACACAAGTTTTATATTCATCAGAATTACGCTACCTTATGGCAATATCTTTAAATTTATAGACCCATTCGATAGCAGGAGAAATGAGAAAGTTCTAAGGCATATATTTTAGATTTACTATTACTCAACAGTATAATTTTATAACTAAAACTTGCGTGAATTATTATTAAAAGGTCAAAAATTCTAAAATTTAATAAAAATATTTTTTAATTTAATATATTTGGTAAAGGAAAACTTGTATAGAATAAAAATAACCTTACTTAAAAAAATTTATGCTTAATCTTATCAATCGTTTCTACATGAACATCATTCCAGTAGCTTTTTATAATTCAAGTACAATGCCATAAGTAATAAATATGGAGATTTTTCAATATTATATAAAAAAAAATAAGAAAACTAGAATATTTTCCTACATGATGAAACCTATCAATAATAGTCACTGTAAAAGTTTAGAACGAGAAAATTGATAAAATGTGAACTGAATTCCTAAGTTATTTGTTTTCAACGAATGATGCTTAATCTGTACAATCCCTAAGAAAATTGATTTAGTTCTACATGTACTGTACGTGAGATTCATCAAAATTGTATTGAACCTGTCAATACTTTTTTCACAGGGTATAGGAAAATTTTTATGGCTTGTTATCTATTACAATTTTTACCTGTTAAACATGCTTTTTATAGCAGAATAAAAAAGAATAAAAAGGGATCCTTTACTCTTGAATAATTCGTGCATTAAATATTAATTAAATATATAGTTTAAATACATTAATGACAGTATTTTAACTAATATTTTAGTCTATTTTTAATATAGTCTACATATGTAGACTTTCATATAAATTTATAGATGATACTTACCAAAAATAAGCATTATTCTAGTCATAAATTTACAAACGAGTCTCATTTTATGCATTTCATTTATAGTATAAAAGATTTATTTATTAATTTATATGCCTAATAATACATAAACAATAAACTTATATGAGTTCTTAAGCTATAAATTTACACGTATATTATAAAATATTGCTTTAAAATATTTGCTAAACTTTGTAAAAAATCCCATAAAACTGAAAAAAATTTTTTTAAATATCAATAAAAAGTTATAAAACGAAGACTTTAACTTTCAAATTATTTTAAAAGTAATGAGTTGTTTATCAAAGGGGAAGATAAAACGTTTCACTTTTACTTTATTTTTTTCTTTTTTTACTGTGAATGATTTTTTAAAGATAAAAAAAGGTAAAAAAATTTGGATTAGCTTAATAAATATTGGCAGCAAGTCTTTTGTGATACGACAACCCATCAATGTGATTACAAAAGTTGATGCCTTTTAAAACGAAAAGTGGATATTTCTTTGTCCAACAAAACATCAAGATTCTAAGACGTACTTTTCTCCTCTTGAACAACACAAAACACTTCCTGAAGAAGTATATGCATTACGTCATGTTAAGGTAGTCAAAAGAAGTAAAAATGAAAGGATCTGATGCAAACATCTTTGAGTGTATTGTGGAGTTTTCAAGAAAGAGAGAGAAGTTGAAAACTAAAAATGTTCCTTAGATCATCTTTCGATGCCAAAAAAGAAATACTTTTAACGTTATAAAGAATCATTTGTGCTTTTGCAGTAACAAACAACAAAAGTTGCTTTAGTCATTCACTGATTAGAAAAGCACAGAAGTAAATTAAGGTCATACTTCTGCATGACTGCTCTGTTAAATTCTATTAAGTTACACGGTCTTTATGCTGGCTTTTTGTACATATACTTTTTTTTCATTGTGTTTTAAGTTATATAAATAATTTTTTATTATTTTTTTAATTTAATTTCTTCGATCTAGAAACATATAAATGTAAAAAAAATCATCTAAATAAATTTCTCCAGAGTTTAAATTTTAATAAATTGCTTCTATTTATATGACAGAACTAATAAATGTCTAGATTTTTCCAATTAATTATATTACTGTTGTATAAAAATCGAAAACATTTTCTTTCAGTTAAGCTAATAATGTTTTTATAAGAAAAAATTAATCTAAATAAAATCATCTAATTTATAGATCGGTGCCGAAAGAAACGTGATATTAATAACATCTTGAAAGATCCAAAATTTATTATTATTTTTAAATATTTATAATTTAAAAAAATAAATCTTTTAATTGCGACATTTTTTATAGTTTTATAGTTATTTTTTTAAATAATTTTTTAATATTATTCGTTTATAAACGAAAAATACAACTACACGCATTAAATTTTATAAATTAAAAAGTATTTTTTAAATAAAATTTAAATAAAAAAATTCCTTAATATTTAAGATTTAAAATAAGTTAAAGACTTAAAATGATTGGCTAAAAATATGTTTATCTTGACGGCAATTGGTTGAGCGAAATTGAAAGAATTAGACGTAGGCGTAACTCCGTTTAATTTTTAATTATCCAACCAATCATCGTTAATATAATTATTAAATCATTTTCGTTCGATATATTAAATGATATCAAGAGGACGATATATACTTCTGTACTAAATTAATTTACGATTTATTTCGTATATTAATATTTTATTAAAGAATTATATTTACTTACATATTTTCAAGTATATATCTAGTTAAATAAAATAATTTATTGCTAGTAATTTAGAAATATGATGACAATATACGCGCTTTCAGGACCTGTAAAATATATTTTAATGGATAAAATCATATATAATAATATGCTATTATTCAAGTAGTGATGTATAAAATGATGTAGAGGAAAATAGGCAAGACTGTGTACGGATGATAATAAATTAATAAATATAGTAAAATAATGGATAAAATTTGTCTATTGTAGCCAGGAAATAATGAAATAAGTTAGTACAGTAGCTATATTTTTCAGTTATGAGTTATATTTAAGATGGTAAAAGTGATTTTAACCAGGGATCGAAAACCGTATTTCGACATGAAAATTGACCTTTAGACATTACTTCACATTTCTAGTGAAAAATTACACTTTACACCTTATCTACCGTGAGATAAACTACACGAAAAAATTGAAATGCATTAAATTTCAGAATTATGGCAAGTTCGCATGTTAAACTTTAAAATAAGTTCATTATGAAATGTTAATTTTCTTATGTCATTTGTTTATTTTTCAAAAACTCCACGAAAATTATATTTTTATTTATTTATTTATTTTTCAATTAATGAACATTTACTAGATACGACTTAACTCAATTCAATTAGAAATATTTGATTGGCATAAATATAATTCTTTATATTAAATGTTTAAACATGTTTTAGTGATTTTTAAATTTGATTTTTTTAAATTGCTCGGTGTAAAATATTTAAAAAATAGTATTTTTTTTCTTCTCTCTTCTTTCTAACTTTTAAACTTCGTGCGTAATTTCTGCACGGTCAAAAATTGATTGACAATTGTTATAAAAATTGCATTACACATATCTTTCTTCATTGAACAATTTAAAATGTTACTTACCTGACTGTTCAGCAATGTGCACTAGAAAATTAAAGAAAAAATCTATGAAAACATACAAAAATAAATAAAAAAATAGAATATTTTATTACAAATAAAGCAGTGAAATAGTTTAAGTATTAATAATGTAGGTTTAAAGTTAAGGGGTCTCCTATATGTATATATGTATATATATATATATATATAATTCCAAAATGGAGAAGAAATATTTATATACTCCCTGCCTATTTATCACCATGTATCAGAGGGAAAAACAAAAAAAAAAGAAATATCAATATTGACAAGAATGTCAATATCTAACGACAAGAGAAATGTTTTTTGGTTGTAGGAACACAACTTAGAAATTAACTGTTTTTCAAGCCACATCAGAACATGTCAGACGTCATAATATAACAAATATCTTATTTTGTTTGTATTACAGAATAAAAAAAATATATATATATATACAGTTTCAAAAGATATACAATGTCTAAAGAATTATAAGTTTTCAAATAAAAAGTAGATACAGTAAATAAAAAGGAAAAAATATATCCAATCTCCTCAATATTTCAAACCAATATTACATTACAAATCTTTTGAATGTAACATTATCATAAAGATTGTATCGTATAAAGTTTTATGGGAAATTCAGAATCTCGATATGTTTTAACAGAGTGATTTACAAACAAATGTTTCACGTATAAGTAGCTAAAGTTCTGAATAATCAGTAAAAATAAAAGTACTAGAGAATTCGATCC